GGGGTTGCTGCTCCGCCTTCACTGCATTGTGTCCCCAGGCATGGTGGCCCTTCCCGCCTACATGGAATTTGCCTCCACGCTGTTCATCAGCGTTCTGGTCCCCGGCCATCACTGCCGGCCCCTCAGTTACTCAGCTTTTTTTAGAGAGAACCTGAAGGCAGCCACCACGAAGTGACATCCAACCACCATCCTACAAATGTCCTTCTGCATTAGCATTAGCTGTGTTAGCTTTATAGAGAGCCAGAATATGGATGTATTTTTTACTAAAACCCTGTCATGATTCAGGAGCAATGTTTCAGGGGTAAAAGAGTGATTCCTCCCCATGTTTGGACCCACACAAACACATGTCCGGCTCCGTAAGAGTGCCAGCATTCCAGCAGAGGTTTGGACATGTGTTCTACACATGCCAAGTGAATGGAGGCTAACCTGCTCCTGAAATGGTCCCTGTGGGAGTTTGTGCTGGAATGCGGGTTCCATCTAGCAGGTTCCCTCCCCTCTTCTACCTCCTCCTTTCCCTTTAGGTCCCATTACTCATCCTCCCCATTCTCCAGCTTTTGACCTGCCAGGACACACTTTTATTCAAGTTTCTGTGAGCTTTCTCTGCGAGAAGATACATACATACACAACAGAAAAACGCGTAGACATGCACACAGTGCCAAAAAAGCATCACAAAAGGTCTCGGTTTGGAAACCAGACCAGCTGGATCTCATTGGGTGGAGAAAACTGAGCTTTATGCCACCCAGAGGTTGCAAAATTGGTGGCTAACAATAGCTGCAGTGTTTCTGCTGCACCGAACAAGCTGCGCGTATCATCAGGTGCAGAAGAGCAGAGCGAGGCTGGAGAGGCGGCTTTACGTAAGAGAACGTGACAGGCTTTCATCCCTGGGTGCCATCATCCGAGGAGCAGGAGAAGCAGGGGGAGGGGAGAGGAACAAGGGAGAGAGGTGGAGAGGAAGAGGGAGAGGGAGGGAAGGAGGGAGAGGGATATAGATGGAGATGGATACAAAGAAAATAGGGAGAGAAAGAGGGGGGAGATGCAGGGGGAGGGAGAGGGAGATAGAAGGAAGGAAAAGAGAAAAAGAGAGAGGGAAATGGGAGGAGGGGAAAAGGGGGTAGAGTGAGGGAAAGGGGGAATGAGGAGAGATGGGGAAGCGTGGGGACAAGTAAAGAGAGGAAGAATGAAAGGAAGAGAGGGAAAGGAAATGAGAGGTGGGGAGGGAGAGAGAAAGACAAAGGGAGAGAGTAATAGTGAATTAGAGGCAGGCAGGAGGAGAGAAAGGGGGGGAAGGATAGGGAATTAGAAGCAGGAAGGGAGACAGAAAGGGAGGAAGGGATATGGAATGAGAGGCAGGGAGAGAGAAGGAGGAAGGAATAGGGATTTAGAGGCAGGGAGGGAGGGAGAAAGGGAGGGAGTGATAGGGAATTAGAGGCAGGGAGGGGGAGAGAAAGGGAGGGAGTAATAGAGATTTAGAGGCAGTAAGGGAGACAGAAAGGGAGGAAGGGATAGGGAATTAGAGGCAGGGAAGGAGAGAGCAAGGGAGGTAGGGATAGGGATATAGAGGCATGGAAGGAGAGAGCAAGGGAAGGAGGGATAGGGATTTAGAGGCAGGGAGGGGGAGTGATAGGGAATTAGAGGCAGGGAGGGGAGAGAAAGGGAGGAAGTGATAGGGAATTAGAGCCAGGGAGGGGAGAGAAAGGGAGGGAGTGATAGGGAATTAGAGGAAGGAAGGGAGACAGAAAGGAGGAAGGGATAGGGAATTAGAGGCAGGGAGGGGAAAGTAGGGAATTAGAAAAAAGGGTGGGAGAAAAAGCTTTGGTGATGGTCTATTTTTAAAGTGTTTATGGTGGGACTTTTCTGTTATGGCTGTTTGTCACCCTGTCCTTTTTTAGTGTCAGTGCTGCTGGGAGAACAGGCTGTTTCACAGACGGAGCGCCTGCGTGTTTCAGAAGGGGGTGACGAACGTCACTCAGGGCAGGGCTGTATTTTGGCTCTCCTTCCCGAACAAGGAGTTGCCCCCCCCCCCCAAGTCATCTCTCAACGTTCATTGAAAATGCTGCAGCTCTAAATCAGTCCTTGCGTGTCCTGTTCCTCCAAAGAGTGGCTGGGGCTGTGAGTCTGTATCGAGCTCACTGAGCCCAGAGGGGCTCTGCTTCAGCCTCGAAGCCAAGCTGAGGTCAGAGGGGCTCTGCTTCAGCCTCGAAGCCAAGCTGAGGTCAGGGCTCAGAGGTGCTGAAGAAATGATGCCTTATGTTAGTTTTCACATATCCCATCAGACTTGTAAGACACACACAAACATATCAAGATGGGAGTGAGTCTGTCTCAGGTGGTCGAGCCGAAGTCCAGGCAGCAATCAGATTCCATCACCACTATATAAATGTGTTGTCATCTCAGGCAGATAATGGCTGAGGAAAGCAGTGAGTCAGGCAGAAAAGGCTGCGTTTGGACATGGCTGCTTATATTGCATGTTTTCACAAAGGGTTTGCAGCCACTAAGGTGGTGACCTACCAGTCCAGCCAGTCCAGCCTCTTCTTCATTGCGTCATTCTCCAAACCTGATAACCAAAAACATGCTTACTGACTGCTGTGAATTACTATGTAATCTGCCAAAATGTCAGGGGTGACACCTTCCTAATATCCAATGATCATATCCTATTGGAACATCCTAGTCACGGTCATACACACACAGATACACTATGGACAATTTAGAGACTCCAGTTAGCCAATTTAGAGACTCCAGTTAGCCAAACTGCATATCCAGTTAGCCCTCTGCATCACACCTTGTTTTATTGTCAGTAATTATTTCTGGATCCTTGGCTGAACCTTGTATGACTAACCTTGCATTGCTTTCCCAGAGTAACAATATTAAGAATGCAATCCTGCATTCTTGAACCTGCAGCCTTTGGCTTCCATGCAGATCTTTCTTTAACCACACCGCCACCTGCTGGCCTGTTATGGCGCGACAGAGCCTCAGGGGTCCAGTGGGGTTGCAGGTCTCTGCTACTGAGACCACCATGTCTGCTCCTGCTAATGTTTTTAACAGACTCTGTAGAACATTCTGCTGGAGGCCAGTGGCTCAGTCGTATGTAAAGTCCAGACCCCTACTACTCAGATCAGACAGGGGATTACATAAATGGCCACTGCAGGAATTTATAGCGCTTGACGAGGTTAAAATGGCGCACAGAGCTTTGCAAACTCTTTGGGAACGAAAAAAAGAAAACTCTATCAATAAGGCCACAAAGGTAGGAATGAGAAACCCTGGTTAGTGCATAGTTTACATCCATTAAACTGTGTTTTCCAGGTTATGAGACACATAGCAGAGTACAAAATGCTTTTGGTCACAACTACAGAAGTCCTTTGGGTAAAGGTCCAACACGACAGACTTAATTTGATCTTGGCGATTGTAGTGACAGGAAGGTAAATGAGTAAATGTGACCGGACAGGCGTGCCCTAGGGAGGAACACGGGAGCTGCACTGTAACCTTGGTGTAATGGCTCCTGTGGGGTGTTTCTGGAGGGGTGTGAGGACTGGGGGGCAGGAAGGTGAGGAGATGGGCCAGCAGTCATGGTCTGTCCCTGACATTATAATTCTAATGATCTTATTTTGAAGGATACACACTAAAAGCTGCTTAGATGCAGAGAATACAAATTAGTTAACATCTTCCTGATATTCTAATATGCACCCTGATGGATACCCCCCCCCCACACACACACACACACACACACACAGGTTTGTAATTATATCTTTGTGGGGACTCTCCATTCAGTTCTATGGGGAAAACTCTAATCCCAACATGATGACCTTAACCCATACCCAGCCCTAACCTGAACCATAAGTAACCAAACAAAGGCTTTTGGAGTTATTTATTTTTTGATTGCATTCACAGATTTTTATAAAATTGAGTGGTGGGGACTCAGAAAAAAGTCTCCATGCGGTCAAAGTAACCGACTTTTGTCACATTCTGGGGACATCCCCAGGTAAGTTCTCATCTGGCATTCAAGAACTTGCCTGAAACAACAGATACGGCAGCAGCCTGCTATTGTAGTCTTTACCGCTGTCATTTTCTCTGCCCTTCTTCTTGACCTTTCTGTGTAAACAATTAGTCTTTCAGGTGGCCTGTGTGTGTGTCTGTCCTACTTGTATTTCCTGTTTTTGTGGCTCCTGCATTGTCTGAAATATTTCGCCAATTGATTTTATCTACAATAAACCAGCGCCCTGTCACCCCTTGCATATTAAGCGGATTTAATATTCTGTTGTCACTGAGTGGAGTTACACAACCTAATTAGCTCCACCAGAAAGCCAGCACTGCTGCAGTGACTGAAAGCGTGAGGCAGCAAGGACTGTGCGTTATTGCGCAATTTGAAATCGATAAATGCATTGTGCTCCAGTCGCCCAGGATTGCAGCTGATGTCAGTTTTTTTTCTCCAAGGCGTGGCAGGTCACTTCCATCACTGTACATGAAGGGAAGTGAAGGTAGGGGAGCAATTACACCCACGGCCTTCAGTTCTAAATCCTTCCTGGCGATTTTCCGGGAAAAAAGAAACTACGATCTCACTGTAGAAGCCGTAATGTAATCAGAAAGAACTCTGATGAAAAAGTACTCGGTGTACTTTGCAATATTCTGAAGCCTCCTAATCCGTGATTAGGCTACCAGTCTCTGGGAACAGCCGAAATGACAAGTGGAAATGATGTGATTTCTCCCAAATGACATGAGCGACTCTCCCAAAATAGATGTGAATAAATGAGGTTTGCTGTGATTGCAGTGTGGGGCGACGGCAACTTCTCTTTATCTGTCAGCTGCCTCGACTTCACTGCATAGCTGCACTGTCAGCCTGAACTTGAACTCAATGAGCTCCGGCGCTAATGTGTGTCTCGAGCACCATTGTAATTTGACTGAGAAATGCTATAGAATTCTTGCTCCATAGTTCTACGTGTGGGGCTGATCGGGTTACCTGCTGTGGGCTCCCACCTCATGTTCTCCCTTTCCCTCTCTATCTCCCACAGTGGGTGGCCTTCGTGTCACTCTTCTTCATCCTGGTGTCCATCACTACCTTCTGCCTGGAGACGCACGAGGCCTTCAATCCCATCATCAACCGCACAGACGAGATCGAAGTGGACAACGTGACGTTGCAGCGCGTGTACCTGGAGACCGAGACTGTCGTCTACCTCACCTACATCGAGGGCGTGTGTGTGGTGTGGTTCACCTTTGAGTTCCTCATGCGTGTGACTTTCTGTCCAGACAAGCTGGAGTTCATCCGGAACACCCTGAACATCATTGACTTTGTGGCCATCTTGCCCTTCTACCTGGAGGTGGGCCTGAGCGGCCTGTCTGACAAAGCGGCCAAGGACGTGCTGGGCTTCCTGCGGGTGGTCCGCTTCGTGCGGATCCTGCGGATCTTCAAGTTGACCCGTCACTTCGTGGGGCTGCGGGTCCTGGGCCACACGCTCCGGGCCAGCACCAACGAGTTCCTTCTGCTCATCATCTTCCTAGCATTGGGCGTGCTGATCTTCGCCACCATGATCTACTACGCCGAGCGCATCGGTGCCAAACCCAATGACCCGCGGGCCAGTGAACACACGCACTTCAAGAACATCCCCATTGGGTTCTGGTGGGCCGTGGTGACCATGACCACCCTGGGCTACGGGGACATGTATCCACAGACCTGGTCGGGCATGCTGGTGGGGGCTCTGTGTGCCCTGGCTGGGGTGCTGACCATCGCCATGCCTGTACCTGTCATCGTCAACAACTTTGGGATGTACTATTCCTTGGCTATGGCCAAGCAGAAGCTACCAAAGAAAAAGAACAAGCATATTCCCAGAGCCCCACAGCCCGGTTCCCCCAATTTCTGTAAGTCGGGCATAAACTCGCCCCACCACAGCACGCAGAGTGACACCTGCCCCCTGGCACAGGAAGAAATGTTAGAAATGAACAGAGCAGGTAGGAAGCCTCTGAGAGGCATGTCCATCTGATTGCAAACAAGGAATCTTGAACGAAAAAATGACTTGCTAACAATTCCCTCCACCTGTCTCCCTTCTTCTTTCCTCCTCTCACCCTCAACCATTTCAAACTCGCACCCCTACCCCCTTGCACCCCCTAACTGACACTACACCCCCCACCCCCTCCCCCCCAAACCATCCCGAGTCACCACCCACTCAACAAGGCCAGGCCACCGCCCAGCCGTGCGCACACATTCCGTCACCTCCGTCCGACTCTCACCATCATCCACCCCTCACTGACAAGGCCACACAGCCCCCCCCCCCCGTGGGCTGTACCCTCTGGTCAGCGTTTCATCCACGGCAATCAAGTGGCACATTCATCAAACGGCACGCCCACCCCCTTACCAGCTCCTTCCCGACTCCCACTACACCCCGTATCCCCTCTGATTTCCCTTTGAAGAATCCCACAACATTCCCAACTCCAAAGAGTACTGATATCATGTAGCTCCCATATTGTACAGTAAATCTGTCTGATTGCAGCTGGGTAAGGGCGCGCCTCTTAGCACAGAGAGCACACAGCTAAAGAAGGGAAGAGGCTTGTTCTTTGCTTCCACATGTACTAAAACAAATACCATCAGTAATTCCATAATATTAATGTCGGCTGTTAGCAATTATTCACTGGTTTTAGTGGAGTTACCAGAATGTGCATCTTACTATTTGCAGATATTATAAAAAAAAGCACAGTGTTACATGTAACAAATAGGTGATTACGGGGACAAAAAAGGAGACATTCCCCTCGGGTTATAACTGTCACTGTGCCCATTCCTCGTCAACATGAGTTGTATCTGTCAGAAGCCTGAATGAGATTGATGTGATCAGACGGTGGTGGATTGAACGAGGCAGCGGTTCTTGGTGGGATGTGAAGAGTGCGGTTAGGACCAGGAAGGTCCTGCGGGGTGCTGAGGGGTGGGACGGCTTTCCTAGCAGCTAGTAGCACTGAGCCGGTGCTTTTGGCTCATCAAAACCACCAGCTTTAATTACAATCCCAGCCAGTGAGATTGGAGCATAGCAGGGCAGTGTTGAAGGCAGCACAGGGCCTCTTTAAAGCCTGGATTCAGCCAGTCTGGGCCAGTTTGTACTTGCTAATGAGCCCAGCAGATTTGCACACAAGACCCTGGGGCAGTTTTTGCTAGACTTGTTTTAGGTCCCCATTGGTTGGGTTGGTTGACAGTGGTTGAGTGGCGTTGCTTGATCGACACTATTAGTACATCAGCACTTGTATCTGCTGGAGGGCAGGGAGCAGTAAGCCCTTGTCGCATCTGGATGCTACATCAAGATTAAGGCCAGAACTGCCAATCATGGGTTCTGTCGTTGATGGAGCCGACATGGTGACAGTCTGCTGCCGCCCCCCCCAGCACTACATGAGTGACGTGATTTAGGCTGTGAGAGGCTAAGCGCCCGCCGCTTCCACTCAAGCAGAAGAAGAACGTACAGGAACACATATCCAGGCCACTGCAGTGGGTGTATGGAGAAAGAGAGTCAATTCGTCACCAAGGAATGAGAGTCAAAGAGTCACTCGGAAGTCGACGGTAAGGCCTGTTAATCACTGAGTGACTGAGGGACTTCATGCAATTCAAGGATTCAGAGTGCAAACATTTCTAACTGGAGAAAATGACAGACGTTGGTCTCTGTTTGGTTCATGGTCTTCCATGGACACCCAGGTCATCTGTCTTAGATGGGGGCCACTGTTCCTCCCTAATGTTCTTGCGTAACTGGGTTTTACCAAGGACTCAAAATACCACTGAGAAATATGTCATGATTGCACAGTACTACCCTCCCGTTTGCTACTGCTCTGAGCCAATGGCGTATGACGAGGCAGTGAGTGATGGCATATCCCACGAATGGGTCTGCGGCCCAAAATTAGCCATGGGAATGGAGGGATGACACCCCAGCTGTCCATGGGATTCAGGCAGATATGTCCAAGTAGAGTTATGACAGTGAAGATGGAGCTTCTCTATTTATTGCTATGCTTCCATTTTATGGCAGAGTAGGAGGGAGCAGCATCTCAGCGGAAGTCATGTACATAGTGGGCAAAGAACTGAGAGATATCATCAGAAGCTATAGATAACCAGGACAGACGGTGCAGCCACCGCGCTGGAATCTCACTAGGATTAAGTTAAGGCCACATTCTCTGAGTAAATACCAACTCATTTTCAGGAAATAGTAGGAGTGTCCATTAGCTTTGTTATATTCAGCTATAATGTCAGCACTCAGTGTGGCAGAGATTAAGCCTTACTTCAATCCCCTAAAGAAGCCTAATTACACAATCAACAAAATATCTAATTCTATGGCAGGAAGAAGTATGCAGGCAAATGTAGGGAATTGATTTCTTCCATCAAATTTTGACTAAACTCCGGATCATGAGGTTTATGTCAGTGTTTCCCAGTCTGGTCCTCTGGGACCCACAGACAGTGAAGACAGCGTCTGGCAGGGAGCTGGGAGGGAGCAAAATCCCCGAGCGCCACATTGGAATCAAAAAATCAACCACAATCATAAAATCAAACCAAAGAGTGACAGCGTCTCCCAATCAACTGCAATATTATAGCATAGTGTTTTGTAGCTTTAGTCTGTATGTTCTTACAATTGGGTCACTCGTCCCAGAGAGAGAGGGCTGTTTCTGGTTTTTATTTACTAGAACTTGATTTAGCGTTAATTATACTTCATGACACAGATGAAGGCTTAAATGCAGGACCTGAACCATCATCTTATGATTTGATGGACAACTGACAGGTCTAATCGATATTCTTTAAAAGTATCCTACTGACACACCACTCTGACACCAAATGTAACTTTAGCACCACAAAATGCACATTAAAAAGTGTGTTACCATAGTAACAGTAGCAACAACAGGGCCAAGGTGTGTGATTTTGAAACTGCACAACAATCGAAGCGACTCACTTTTCCCCAAAGGATAAACTGGGGACCTGTGATTATTGACGAGCTACAGACCAGCTTAAGCTGTCAGACGATGGTGCTACCCCACATGGCCAGACATCATCTATTTATCTAAAAGGTGCTGGATATCGGTGAAAGGCGGCTGTGCTTCTCTGACCTTATCACGACCTACCTAGTAGGCTGGCGGACTTCATGAATAACAAAGAAACAGCCAGGAAGGGTGTGCAAGGAGGTTGAGTGTCGGAGATCTCAGCCAGAGTGTGGTCACATCTCCACATTAATATAATCAGAGAGCGGCAGGACCAGGCTGAGTGCGATGACATCATTCAGGCCATTCAGGGGGATCGATTCTACAGTATTTACATCCAGCACCACCTTGTTGGAAAAGAGGCAGCCTCCCTGTCTGTGATCTTCGGGAAGCTCGACTTGATAGCCCACCTTGTTTACTTCTCTTCACCGTGTCTTTTTTGGGAGCCGAGCCCGGTCACCATGACGACGGTGTCTGGGCAGCCGAGCGCCGTGGGCCTGATTTAGCGAGCTGGAGGCGCGTGGCGGGGCCATTCACAGATTCACGCCTCTGCACCACTCACACATCCCGCAGCACACGCATGTCCAGGCCCGCCGCAAGAAGCACCGGGACACAGCCATTGGCTTTCAACATACATGTGACTGTCAGCTTCAGATATATAATGCGTGGGTCAGACACTGAGGTGACATATCAGTCTCATTAGTCATAGTGCAAATGAGAAAGTAACAAACAGAATATAAATACTCAGACATGTAAACATGACATTTCAAGGCATAGACATTAAGACAAAAGAGTTCACCATCTGACTAGTGGGGAAAAAATGTACAAATGTGACATGCTATCTGATGAGCAGAATATGCAATAAATAAACACACCATTGTACAAATTGATTGAAACAAGTTGGCGCATCTCTATGCAAATGGACTGACCACAGTTCTAACCCCACCCGAGCAGGCCTGCCAGTCTGTGGGCACAGTGTCTCCTCTGTCCATCCACCCAGCCCTAACTCCACCCAAACAGGCCTGCCAGACTGTGGGCACAGTGTCTCCTCTGTCCATCCACCCAGCCCTAACTCCACCCGAGCAGGCCTGCCAGTCTGTGGGCACAGTGTCTCCTCTGTCCATCCACCCAGCCCTAACTCCACCCGAGCAGGCCTGCCAGTCTGTGGGCACAGTGCCTCCTCTCTCCATCCACTCAGCTCTAACTCCACCCGAGCAGGCCTGCCAGTCTGTGGGCACAGTGCCTCCTCTCTCCATCCACT